GAATTCCTTATGATGCGGGCAACATGTTAAAGAATAAATCTAGCTTTAATTATTAGATTACATGACGTTGCCTGAATAAAGATGAAGTTCTTGAGATACAAATCTTAATTTGGGTAATATATACAAATTTTATGTATTTACATATGTATTTATTATCATTCAAGAGCTCAAGACTGTAGGTTGGTTGGGCTGAAAGAAACTGACCAGCCCAAAGCCACCTAGTGAGCTTCCAAGTTGAAGAATTTAGCTGAGTATCATAGAGCTGGAAGGTCTACCTAATAGATATATATCCAGCCCATCTCTTACACTGACTCTATTAATAATTAATAATTTAAATGTGGAATTGTGGACATTGGAAAACATATTTCATTTGGACAATTAGATCACAGGATCCCATATTAAGGGCTACAAATACAGTACTAGATTTTAAATTCCGTTCTCTTTGTTATTCTCATGGAATACCCTTTCTTTTAGCCTATGGAGTATAGAAAGCTGGATCTAATTCCCAATAGGGCTTTGAATTATAACAGTTCCTCTCATCTACATCCTTAGTATAAATTTAGCATACAGAATTTATCCATACACCTTTAAGGGTACTATAACTAAATGGACTATTACACAACATTTAACAGACAAATCTACACTTCATTTGCAACATTTGCAAATTTGACAGAGGTAAGGAAGAGGCCTTTCAAGTAATTTAATCAAATTTAGTCTCTAATAATTTTACATATAAAGTTATTTGTATATTTCTTTTTTTTTTAATTGCCTTAAAAAGCAATTAAAGGAATTTGGCCAAATAAGTTTTTCTTCTTTTGTTTCCGGATTACTGTATTACAAATTGTTAAAACCACTCAGGTTTCAAAGCAATTTGCCACAAGACTGGAGTAGAGGGAAAGGCCAACTGAAAAACAAGCTTGGAAAATAATTTGGTTTGGAAAGTACTGAACTCTGCCTTAAATTAACATTTTTATTTGATTAATCATTGGGGGATTATTTTAGGTAGTAAGACAAAATTATCTGAAGTGTTTATCGATGCCTAGTTGTGACACACATTTTCACAAGCATAAGTCAGTATCTGTGAAAAGGCACTTCTTAAAGCATTAATGACTCCTCCCTACCCTTAAATATATATTTCAAAAGTTCACAAAATTGATTTCAGGGTATTATTTTAAAATGTTGGGGGTGCATTAGGGGTCTGTAAAAGTTACTGCTCTCACTTATAGATTTATTCAGAAATGTCACTCTGAAAATCTTATACTAACACGTACCTGGTATCTTTTTGGCCCAATGGCTGCCATCCAAATACCCATGCTCACATCTTCACCCTAAGTGTATAATTTAAGTCAGAACAAAAACAAGGAGTGCAGTAAATAATATCAGAACTGAAACTGGCACATGCTTCACAAAATAAATTTTGTTTTATTTTTTAAACACCAATGTTTACATTTCTTTAGATTACAGATTCCCTAACAACTCTACACTGGACAACAGAAGCATAATGAAGAACTTAAGCACTTTCATAAAGAAAAAGACTCCCTCAAGTCATAGCAGATTCCCAGTAATTTCATAGATTTAGCTGTGATTTTTTTTTTTTATCAGAAGGCTAGGTTTTTACTAGTGATCCAATTTATTCAGTACGTAGAATCCTACTTTGCTTTAATCATGCCCTCCCCACCTGTCAAAAGACTTACCTGATATATCTTGAGTCTTTCAGAATTGCTTGCTAGCCATTCTACAACATCTTTGGAAATAACATAACCAGACCCACAAGCAAATGCTGGATATGCAGGACTTGGGTACTCCAACTCTTGCCACTTCCCAGTCCGATCAACTGCCCAATTTAATCTGAAACTTAAACCAAAACATTGTTCTTTTGATACAAAATTAATAAATACTCTTCTAACTTTTCAGTGCAGTTGAGGAAGCTCTCCTAAGCTCTCTTTCACAGGTTTGACTAACAGATTAAGTCCTTTCTCTAGCACTATCAAACAGACATTTTAATTCCCTTGTCCATTTCCTTAGAAGTGATGTGCTCATTCCCCAGATTGCCTCTTGCTCTCTTGTAGGACAGATAAGTAGACCCCTTTAATAATTCATCAGGAGGCTTAAGTAACAGAAGAGTCCAACTCATTTCCTGGCTTTTAGAGATTTGCCAACATCATTTCAGTGGGGGTTTTATAGTGTGAAAGAGACTGCCAATAGTGACTAGCACAAAACATTATTAAAGTATCTTTTCTCCCACAAAAATAATGTTTTCACTCTCACTCTATTGTAATCTTAGTATTTCTGTGTGCTTTAGGTCAGTCAATTTTCTCTTAGATTCCTATTAATTCATATGTACAAGAGGAGCAGTATCTGTGTCACCATGTTTTAATCTTGGGATAAAACTCACTTAAAACTTACTTAAATTCTTCAATTAAAATGCACAATTCAAAGAGGAAGAAAAATAAATAAATAAAGACCTATTCGAATATAATTCTTGTAACTTCAGTAGACAGGTTTAAGATCCCAAAGGAATAATTCAACTGTTAGGATTTCTTTTCCACTCTATCCCAGGGCAATTAGCAATGTAAGTAGTACTTTGTCACTGCCTTCTGCTGAGATTTTTGTTTACTTCCCAGTCTAGACTACAACCCCAGAATTTTCTAGAAATCTCCTAACCAACTACTAATCAGGTTGGGTCCTAATGGCCCACTACTCTTGAAAAAAGTTAAAACAGGACATGCTGGCTGGGGAATAGTGGAAGTTGAAGTCCACACATCTTAAAGTTGTCAAGTTTGAAAAACACTGATGTAAACGGAGGCAAATGATATCAATACACAAATTGCATCCAGCCCCACAATACCCTACTCAGCAATGTAACTGACAATCCTGAACCACAGAACCGCTCCCCTCAACCTGTCAGTGGAAGCAAGGCTTCACTGTACTCCTGTTCATTCTGTCAGCATCTGCACATAGCAGTAAGTCAGGACTGGGAAACCTACAGCACTTAATTAACTTTAACGTTCCTCTGCAAGAGATAAATTCAGACTTCCAATAAGTATTTGTCCTTTACCAGCAGCTTACTGCTTGGAAAACAAAAACAGGTCTTGGAAGAAAAAGGAGAATATAAGAGAGAAAAAGATCTGTCAAAAAAAGATAAGTTTTTGGTTTTGATCCCTTCCAACTCCTTCATTAGACACCCATTATATTTTTGTATCGTATTAGAATATTTTACTAATAATTAAGAACAAATCATATAAACACAACTTGTGGAGTGAGTATACACACACACCCTTCTTGGAACTGGATGCCCTGTTTATGTTATTCTAAGACTCTCGTTTTCCACAGCCAGTAAAGCCATTGATTTATTGGGATGGAGGATGATGGGAGTTATATTTTTCTGGGAGGTATCAGGTTCAGAAAGTCTGCCTTATAGGACTTGACAGTCTATAGATGGACCCGCAGAACCAATCAAAATAGCTCAATGTAGTTTGGTCAGCAAAGCAAGACATTGCTTTGTTCTTAAAACAATGTTTTAATCATTGTTTAATGTCTTCTCAGTGGTGCTTTACAAAAAGAACAAAATTAAGCATATTTTCAGTTTTCAAAATGTTTGATTTTTTTCTATTAAAAAAATCTTTCCCTTTCTCTGTTTTAACAGTCAACTCTCTTTAACGGCAGTGCATCTATTTTGATTACTATGAAATTCTTTACACTAATTGTATAAATAACAACACAATGTATTACAAAATGATACTCACTTTCCCCACCAGATATTTGGTCTGCCCAAGTTTTTAAGCTTTATTCTGTTAAATATTGTCTCTAAATCTATGTAGCAGTCATCATCTGTCTTCAGCAGTACATCAAAACTTGCAGCTTCTACAGTCCTATATCAAAATCACCACCATCATCATCATACAGAAAAGTATTTGTTAATATGCATCCTTTTCTGCCATAGATGGCAATCACTCTAAACAAGATTTTAATTAAATCAATAGTAACAAATAAAACAATCATCTTATTCTAATATATTAAACTGTGACACAGCAAATTGTATAATATCTCATTCTTATATTGTACTGGAAAGAAGGAAATAACAGCCTTGCAACAGAAGGAAAACCACACTGTTATTAGCCCTTTTTTAAATAGCAGGTTGAAAGCTTATTCCAGTATTGGTAGCCAGAAGCTGAGAGACTCTTAAAAGTCTTTAAGGATCCTTGAGGGCTACATTAAATAGAGGAGCAAAGAAAAAGAAACTGACCATTAACTCTGCTGATAAGCCTAAGTATCAAAGCCTTTTAAGAGAGAATACATACCTACCAATGATTTTTAAAACCAGGGACTGTAAAAGTTCACACAATTTTAAAAAAATAGGGAACTGTGGAGGAAAGAAGGGTCATTAGGGCTGTGCAAAGTATTTTAATGGAGCACTTCACAGAGCACATTGACCCAAATGAAATAGCTGAAATATTTTCCTCAGATACCTAGTGTGTGTAATGCATGCATACAGAGCTGCTTTACTTCAGTGGCAGATGGAACTACATGCACACATGTGCACAGCCAGAGAAACATACAAGAGAATGCAGGAGCATTTAAGACTAGGGGGAGTATCCTGCTTGCATCAAAATGCTTTGCAAAGCGCCCCTTTCAAACATTTTACACAGTCTTATGGCTTAACAATAATGTTACAGACACTGGGGAACAGTTGCCTGAGATGTATAGTTATAGTCCATGAGTCATTTATAACAGCAAAGGGAATAAACTAACCTGGGGCCCATTTTAATGTACATCTGCTCATGGAGAATCCTAAGTATGTCAGTACACTGCCTGTACTTCCACCTGAATGGGATGTAGGCAACAGTATGCTGTTTTGCAAGCTAATTTTTGGGTAGGAGATCTTAGCTTGCACAAATTGGCATGAGCATACTTGGGATAAAACTTGGCTTTGGTTGTGCTTCTGACATACTAGCCAAAATGTCCTAAATTGACCAGTATTGTCCTTACTTTTAGGTAATGTTGCATGTGTGGCATAAGTACAGCTAAGGCTACACCTGGCCTACACCTTCTCTATCTTAGTAGAAAGGGTTATGTGAAAACCTCAACTGACCAAAGACATGATTGGGTTGTAGAGGGCAATATTCATGGGCTCATCTGTTGACAACCATGGGATATGGAAGATTGTGACCTGACATGTAAAAGGAATAACTAGTAAAGAGCATGGAATAACGATAAAAGAAAAACAGATATGTTGTATGTTTGCCAAAATAAGAGGAAATATGTAATAGGTTTAAAGGTGGTTTGATCTCAAGACATGGATCTGATGGATAGATCCATAGAAGTGAAAGTTGTACAGAGATATAGGAAAGAAAAGTGAATGGATTGAAAGGAAGACCAAAGAACTTGTGGTTGGATGGAGTTGGTGTGATCTTCAAAGAGAGGTGAGAGGTTTAAATAAAAGGCAATGTATGAAGTAGTGGGCAGACAGCGAAGGAAACAGGGATGGTTTGATAGAATAGAAAGGCATGGGAATCTATAGTAAACAATGCTAGCATGAACTAAATTTAGTTCTTTTTTTCCTTCTTCTTTTTATCCCGTCTTTATTTTGTTTCTCTCTTATTCTTTTTCTATTCTCTGCCTAATACTAGTTGCTCTGAAAAGGAACAGAGGGATTACTAACATACATACATACATACATACATAATATATGCATATTACTAGGAAAATATAACAGCTCTGCTAGATGGAGTCAACCAGGAAGATAACATATGAAATATTTATGCTAAAAATTTACACATTTTATTAAACTTAATTATACTGAAAAGATCTTCAATCATTTCAGATTACATTACATTTCATTCAGGCTTGCAGGTATTCAGTGTTGATTATTTCTATACCAGAAATCAACAAGTAAATCCCCTCTGATACCCCCACCCCACACTCCAGCTTACCATCGATAGAAATTCAGTAATTTGGCTGGAACATTTCTGTAAGTATCAACAACATCAACAAAAACTATATCATCGTAAGTGTTGCTTTCTTCCTTCAGGAAGGCATTCTCTTCTTCTAGTTTGTTCATATGATGCATGAATCTTTCAGAGCGACTCTGCAGGGTTTGTAAAAGCATTTCACCTTCTGAAATAGAAGCAGGAAAAGGCTATATCACATTACCATCTTCTACCATCCTTACACTGAAGGCTTTCTGATATACTTCATTTGAGCTACATCCAATGTTACATGAGTGGATGTTCTTATACAATAGGATTTCTTGTTCTTCTCCCCACCCCACCCAAATGTGTAGCCACAGAGACCCTCAACCCCCCCAAATCTGATCTGGGATGTGTAAATGGAGAAAGAATTCATTTCACTATCAGATTTTGTTTTGATCAGCAGATGCATTCAATGAAAGGCAAAACTATGCTTCTATAGGTAATTTATCAGTTCAATAAACCCTGCAGTCTTCTAAAGTACAAAAGCCAGTGAAGAATTAAGCAGCAATAAAATATTAGGCACTCTGAGAAATGATTGGGCAAAATACTGAACCATACAAATGGATTTTCAAGGGTGCAAAATGCCTTTCCCTATCACTTCTCCCTCTGTTTACTCTGCCAAAATTTCCAGCTAGTAGTCAAACTATCCAGAGCAGATTTTGAGAGGAACGGTCTCCTCCGCACCTCTCTGATGGAAGTCCTTATTTCAGAAGCGAGGCAAAGCAAGAAAACTAGAGTTCTCAAGCATGCTTGGCTAAAGATGTATTAAAAACAACTTCCTTCACAAAGTAGATCATAACCCACAAAATACTGAGGCTTCCTCTCCAGTGGAACAAAGACAAACTTCCAAACAGACTGAGAGTTTGGACACTTGTCACAGTAACTCTGTCGTTTTGCCATCCGTATCTTAAGTAGTCCAACAACGGCAAGAGTTCCCAGTCAGATAGGGTACTCCAAGATTGAGGTAACTGATCAGAAAACACAAATAATCCGCTGAGCCATCGGCCTGAGGCGTATTTCATCTACCTGCTTAGCATTAACAGAAGGAAGCATCAACATCTTTTGCTGCTTACCTTGAATTGTATAAATAAAGCCGCCTGCGATCCCCTCCACACCTTGTGTAAATTCATGTGGCAGTGATCCTTCTCCTGCCTATTGCAGACAGTGATTAAAAAGATCATTATTTAAATCTACACTATAGTATACTGTACTTATTCCACTTAGCCAAATTAATACAGGCTAAACCTGATTTAAACTGTCAGGATTCATTCTCAACAGCCCATTTTTTACTGCTCTGATAATTTATGATTCATAGCCTCTACCTCCTACTATTCCCAAGATTCCTAAAACCTTCAACTGGAGATGGACACAGGACACAGGCCAGGAAAGTCCTATTCTGCAAACAGAACAGAACTTGGCAGTTCTCAAGATCCAACATTTTCTCTCTAAAAATGTATCTACATGCAAACCTATACATATGTATGTGTACAATGTCACAAAAGATGCATTCTATGATTTTGAGAGCATCAAATAATATTTCAGACAACTTTGAGCTAGATAAGATATAGTTAAGCACTTACATAATGTAAATGTATTCATATAGATTAGGTTTATGTGATTTTTATTCCAGCATTAAGTCAAGGCATCCAGAAGTTTTATCTTATTTCCAGTGTTGCTGAAGCAATGTGCTAGAACAAATAGCAATTATATTGCAATAATTCACAAAACCAGAATGTTTATTGTAAATGCTTTGCACTAGCTGATATATCTGTAGAGCTTTTAAGCAAACACACTTTTCTGTTTTAACCCTGCCTTTTTCAGTGTCTATGATTTAAATTCTAACGATATTTGGAGGGCCACAGGTTTCCTTATCCCTGCTTTACTTCCATTAAAATTAGCAGCTAATGTCCCTGTTCCTGAAATTGGCTATTCTATGTTCCATGAGACTAAAATACTCATATGGACCCAGTGTTGAAAAGTGGAAGAAAGGAGAGAAGCTGGAATGTAACACATTAATAGTACATTGAAAACAGCTACTGTCACCAGATGGTGCTACAAAGCACAAAAGAGGTTATATGGGACATGTTGCAGGACTCAAGTATTTAAGTACATGGTACCCTAAGCTCATCCTGGAAACTATAAAGTCAATTGTACATGTGCAAACCTAAACAGCTAATATTGGATTAACAGTCCTTAATAATGGAAAAGAGTATAAATCAAGACTGTCCCTTTGCAGCAACTCCTTGGGGACATAAAAGGGTTTTGCCAGAAGACCATTCTGTTTGCAAGATTATCCTTGTTCACTGCAGTTCACATGAAACAGATACACAGAGAGAACTGCCCTTCCGCTGATGTGAAATAATATGCCATAAACTACATGAGGAATTTAGCAATGTGGAAAATATTCTGTGCACAAAGCATTCTATGCATGAAGTAACTATTTTCAAGTGGTCCATGTCTGAACCAAAACATGTTTCAGATTTTTCTCTCTCTACTGCATTCCTTTTTTCCTGAGACAGAACAAAACACAATTGTTTCAGATAGCAATGATTAAGAGATAACAGCAGGAAAATCCCAAGGCTGCAGGGTTTTCTCGGTGGTGGCATATGCTGACATTGACAACAGCACGAAGGCACTGGGAAGCTCAGAAGGCAGGCAGGTGGGCCAGTGGGATATCTCACTGGGACATTGGCAGCAGCAGATGAACGGAGGGAAGGGAAGGGAAGGGAAGGGAAGGGAAGGGAAGGGAAGGGAAGGGAAGGGAAGGGAAAATGGGGCAGGCCAGTGTGGAAGATGCCATGCTGGGAGCCTGTGCCTCACCACCGAGACCATCGTGGTAAGGGACAAGTGCACAGCCAATGCACTGATGGCAGCAGCTCAGAAGAGGCAGGGAGGGAAGGTGCTGGGAAGATTGCAGACCAACCGGCAAGCTGGTGGGATGTGTTATGCTGGAGAAGGAGGGAGGAATGCGCTGGAAGATAGGGGACAGCTTATAAGCTATGTGGAGTGGATGAGGCATATTAGGCTTGGCTTCTCAACCCTATAAAATAACTCTGAGAGCACTCTGGCTTTTGTTTCAGACAAAATCTGGAACAACCAAAACACTCCGGATTTTCTTTCAGGCATGCTGTGTCTGAGCCCAAATGGTTTGGCAGAATTTCCAGATTACATTGGCTTGTGTCAGAACAAAACATATTTTCTGTTTTGTACATACCCTTCATGGAATTCAACCTTGCAGAGTCTGGACAAAGTTAACTATGGATAAAAGAATGATTCTGAAATAGAGCCCCCTAGTTTATATCCGTGATTTGTAAAGTACCACTCAAGAGGACCATTGCCTTCCAGCATATGGCGAATTAGAACTGCAATCCAACTGAAGATATTTTAACTAACAATTCATGGGTCAATTTAATTATGTTTGCAATTGAGTAAGCATCAGTAACAGAATTCCAAACACTCCTGCAAACAAAAAGTTGGGGGGGACTGTAACCCACATTTTTGGATGGCCTCCAACAGTCCATTTAAGGAGAAATAGTACACAGCAGCTGTTTTTGACAGAAGTCATACGTGGAGTTTAATGGTTACTTTGGTCTCAAATTAGCTGTAGTTGCTGTAGTTATGTAGGGCATCTAGATCTGAAAAATAATTTTGTTATTAGCCTCTGCCTCAGCAATGCTTGTAGTCTTTCAAGCATCATGTTCTGTTGTGGGAGAAGTCCAACACCAATAATTGCATTCACTGAATATTTCCATGTACATTTTAGAAATAAAGAACAAAAGGGAATGCATGAACTGGTGGATGAATGTGGCAGAAACAAGGATGCCTTGCAAAGTTCAAAAGGATTGGAGAAGTCAGTAAACAGTGTTGGTGAAACTAGATCTAGCTACATTTTTTTCACTTTATTATCTCATGCTTTTAATTTCTTTGGCTTAATATTTCTTAAACTTTTTCTACAGTTTGCATACACTGCTCACCCCAAAAGAGAACAGCATAATAGTATATATGTATACTTTGACAACCCAAAACCCCTATATTTCCCCATTTTATTAAATATATATTCATGGAGAACTATCTATGTGGTTGCTAGGAGTTGAAAACAACTTGATGGCACGTAATCAATCAATCAAATACAAATATACCAGATGTAAATCACTGCTTAAAGTTGTGCAGAATATTTTTTTTTTACACTTTTATGTTCCTTTTTCAGTGAACTTAACTTTCAAAGTAAACAGTGACATATAAAGGAATTAGGATATTTTATTACTATTTTATACTTCAGCAAGTTCTAATTTTCTTAAAATTGTTTTGGTATAATTGTTCAGAAATAGTTCCTAGCTAAAGTATGTCTCATCCTTCTTAAGCTAAGAAAATTTATCTGATTAGTGGTTTAAATGAAGTACTTGGTGACGAGCTACAAGTGTTGGAAACTTTAGCATTATATTTCAACTGTGAATTAATATAGCTACATAACACTGAAAGAGGAAGATATATAAATCAATATGGGCAGAGAGGAAACTAAAGTATTTAAGAATCTGAAACATTTAAAAAGATTACCAAAATACTTGCTTAAAAGAAATGGGAATTAAAAGACAGACCGTAGTGATTCTGAAGACACCGCCGCCATCATTCACCATCACTTTATGAAGATTTCTAGAAACAAGTCCTTGCAGATCCTGGCTTTCCCATACAATGGTGCCTTCAAAACTCTGTGAAAACAGCCACCATATACTATTGACTCTATATCAGTATGTGAACACATTAGGTAAATGTATTTCAGAACTCTTTTAACATGCTTTGAAAATAGAACAAATCTAAAGCATTATGATTTCATTTTGATACAGACACAGATGTAGACTAGAGCTGTGCAGAGCATTCAAAAGAAGTACTTTGCAATGGGTTGTTAGAGCATGCCAAGCACCTGTCCTCAAAAGCACTGAAGAATCCACATTTGGAAGACTTCTGCAGCTGCTTTCCTGACTGTGTCTACATATGTGATAGGCACAGCTGCTTCACTGGCAACCCCAAAGAAAGCCTTCAAAGCAACTGAGCAAGAATTCTAAATAATATGGCTGCTATAGTGCTTTTCCCAGACTCTTTGCAAAGCACCTGTTGTGAATGCTTTCAACAGCCCAAAATATATGCCTAACTGAGCTGACAGGTGCCTATTATAGTTAGTAATAAAAAATCAGTGATAAGACAAAGCTTATCATTTGTTCATCATGAGGAATAATTCTTAAGTGGTTAAATAGAATTTTAGTTTTTTAAAAAGTTCTACCCAAACTAGTAAAACACCAAAGTTCTTTACATGCCTGTCAAAGATACAGACCGCTGATATCTGCAATTCCTGAAATACTGCAACCTTCAAAGATCAACAGAGACAGAAAAAACTAGTCCCTTTTAGCATATAAAAGTACCAAAAATATTTCATAAGTACAGTACAATGCAAGGGAAGTGGCACTTTGACTTGTTAGCAAGTTGTTAGCAAGTCTAGGACATTTTAAAAGTACAATTAACTAACTGGTTCATATTTAGCGCTATGTCCTAGCAAGTGCCTAGGACATTTTAAAAGTACAATTAATTAACTGGTTCATATTTAGTGCTACACTTGAATTGTCAGCCTACTAGCAATTAGAGTAATTCCTACTGAACATGCTAGAACTTCCTTCTGACAAAGTGCACACAGATTTTTATCTGTACTGCTAAATTTTCATCTAAAACCAGAATATCCTCTATCTTGTAAGTATAGCTATTTTACATAGGCACAAGTTTGTAGCCTCATCTACTGTATCAGTGCAGAAAAACTGTATGATGCTAGCTTCTTTTATTCATAATAATTTCAAATTAGATTATTTATTTATTCTATATGATGCTACTCTATGAATTCTAGGCAGATTACAATAATACTACATATAATCACCATAAATTCATAGCCAACATTATATTGGTGCACTCATTAACTAAAATGCTGCCAACCCTATATGAGATTCTCCTTTTCAAAGGCTGTGTAGAAAAGCAAAGTTTTTCCTAAATGACAAAAGAGAAAGAACTATCCTGACCTCAAGAGCACGCTATTCCTTAGAGAGGGGCTGCAACTGAGAAGACTATCCTCCAGACCCTACCTTCTACCTGCCTGGGAGGATGGAACACAGCACTGGTTTGCATCTATTGGGCAGAAAGACTCTACCTGGAACACACAGTCCCAAAGGTAACAAGGACCCAAATCATAAAAGATTTTATAACCAATATTTTGAATTGGATCTGGAAGCCAACCAGCACCACCACAGCTCCTGTAAAATCAGTGTCATTCTGCTGTACCAGGTTCTGCTAGTTGGCCGGTAGGGAGCTGCTTTCTGGGCCAGCTATAACTTCTAAATCGTCTTAATGGACAGCCCCATATTAAGTGAATTGCAGTTGTCTTGCCAAGAGTCAAGTATGTGAGCATTCCTGGTCAAAGAAAGAACACAACTTATGAACCAGCCAAACTTGACCAAATATTTTCCTGGTCAAAGCCTCCACCTGCTGCGTGAGACCCAAGGTTATATATACAGCTTCAAATCCAGCCACTTCTGGAACGGCAACTGGCATCAAGTTTCCCTGGAGGATCATCAACCACCCTTCTCCCCACTCTTGGTGTTGAAGCTGATGGAAAATTCAAAACTCCTCCATCCTCACTAAACCAGAGCTCAGTAATGTATGCTAGGTCTATCCTCTCCTCCACCACTAAGTCACCAAGGGCAAAATCTAATTACTGACAGATCTGTAAGTAATTAGCCCAATCTGAGGCCATGCCTTCTAGAAATCCAGCATCTAAGGTCCCAGAAAGAAATCTGACAAGAATGAGGTAAAGAAGATTGTAATCTGAGAAGCTCATGGCTACTGCTATGTTCATGGCTGGTAACGTGCTGCCATGATGTTTAGAAAAAGAAAGAGAGAGAGACACTGTATTCCTTTACAAACTGTAGTAGCACAAAGAAAAGTAAAGAAACAAATCACCTATCGTGCACTCCTCCCAAGTGCATGGCACAGTGGTCTCGCTCATAAAACATACATCCATGGTATGGCTACTTGCACCATGGATTATATAATTAACTCAGTTTTCCAGGTATGCACACAACACTGAAAATGCAGCTAGCTGATTTGAATTCCATTGTTGCTGGGAATTAATTAAGACAATTAATGCACATTAAAGAAGAGCAGCTGACAGAAATAACCCTCAAGCTAATTTATAGCCAGATTTAATCAGATATCACTCCTTCATTTCAGCAATAGGTATCTCTCTTCCTATCTGCAGCCTGATCATCAGAATAAAATGCTGAGCATTTTCACAGGGGCAGCCGTTACTAAACCGTGTTGCAACAAGAAGCAGAGACACACACCTTCACATTAATAAATGAATTACATAGTAAGATTTTGCAGACTTGAACATACTCCGTAAGATTCATATACCAGTTGTATATGCATTACTAGGAAATAGGTACTAAACAGAAAATACAGTACAGAAAGAAAGGAAATGCAATAAGCATTAATGATATCAATCTGTGACAGTCATAGTTAGAGTCTGAATGCATTCAGAATAGTATTCAGACCCACCAGAATAGCAGTAACATTTTGCAATAATCAATTTATCAGTATTAGAAATGCTGAATCAGAAGCAGTTCCCAATGAATTCAGTTCATTGTAAATGTGCACGGAAAATGTGGATGGTAAATGTGCACAGAAAAACTGCATCTTTATTTAATTAGGTACTATCCAACTAGGCCTCTCTCCTGATGACCGAAAGGACAAATGCCCTTCATTTTGACCTGTCTCTAGAAATAATCTACACTGTAAGAGATGATTCTCACACTGATAATGTGGCTAGCAGTTATGATGTAAACAATACTGAGGTGCACACTAGCTCAGCTTTTCAAAAAGTGCAGGAGGAATAAAACTAGAATCTGAAGTCTGTGAACTGCCTGTATATAACTGAATTCAACCTTTTTGAAATTTGGAGGTAATTGCTTCTTAGCTGTTCTTCTCTGATCTTGTTTATAGGGAGATGTGACACACAGCCTTTCACTGACTTTCCAATGACAGCTGTGACCTCGTACACCCAATTTATCTACCGTCTTCCCCTTCTTCTATTTTCCTCCACTTGGCTAAGCATAGTTGTTTTTCCTAGTCCACCTTCCAAAGCATATGAGTTTCTGCTTGCTCAACCTCACCTCAAAGTAGTATCAGCCTTGTTTCTTGCAGTTCATGGCACTCTTAGTAACTGTCTTCAAGTCCATTAATTCAAAGGCATTTGTCTTCTTCCTTTCACTTGGATTATATTTCTTCAAACTCAGTTCTTGCATTAGCTGTGAGTTCATTGTAAAGAATCCTGAGAAGACTAGTCAGGTGTTCTGACATACCTTAATATGTTCCTCATTTTTGCATAATTGATACAATGAAAGGCCTTGCTATAGTCAATAAAGCAAAGGTAAACCACCTTGTCATAGGTCTAAGGTACGTATCCCAAAAAGGTGTGCTTAAATAATGCAACTCTCTTAAAAATATCCAGCAGCACATTATATTTTTGTTCCATAGCTCATTAATAAATACATAAAAACATGAAAAGTCACAAACAAATTGATGTTTCTTAGTCCCTCAGAGGTTCTACTTCTTTAGCGATTTCTTTTGGCAGTGATATACTTAATCAATCTGAAGCTTCCAAACCCTGAAGCTTATTGATCTTCCTTTCACTGACACCTTTAAAAGCATGAAAACAGTCAGAAGATGGACAAACCTCACCTTCATTTTCAACAAGCCATTGTTGAAATTACTTTGCTATCATATTATCCAGGCACTAAAAAGTTCAGTGTGATAAATCAATACAGGTAGTCCTCCACTTACGACCATTTGTTCAGCAACCATTTGAAATTAGAATGGCACTGAAAAAAGTGACTTACGACTGGTCTTCCAAGATATGGCCGCTGCAGTGCCCCCACATTCACATGATCAGAATTTGGGTGCTTGGCAGCCCGCCTGCACTTATGACCACAGGGGCACTTCAACTCCCCCCAGCTGCCTATCTCCCTCCCACCTCTGTCCTTCTGGCCACCCTGCATCCTGCCTTGCTGAGTGGCAAGCAGCCCCAGAACAGCATGGCTCTGGGG